TATTTCGTTATTAAACTTAAATTAAATTATAATAAAAAAATTAAAGAAATTACATAAAAAATGAGAACTTTTAAATAGTTAATTTTGATATTAACATTGATATATATTTTTTTCAAAATTTTATAATATCTTCAAATTTATATTTTATTTAAAAATAAAATAATTATTGCTTTCTTAAAAACATATAAAATCGTATTATAATATCGACAGAGACAAATAATAAAAATAGAACATTAAAATCGAGATGTGTCTCGCTGCATTGCACGATTACTCTTCTAATACATTCAAATATGCATAGATGATGATACATTCACTGATGAAAAACCTTAAACAGTATAAAGGGTTGTTTGTTTACCTCTTAATAGTTTCATTAAGAGGCACCATCTGAACCGTTAAGAGGTGAATCTTGTTTGGCAAAAAAAAAAGTTTGCCTCTTAATGGTTCTAAAACCATCTGAATGATTTTGTATCATGAATCTCCCTTAACCATTAAGAGCCCTAATTTCATTGTATACAATTACCAACAATTATATTTCATTTTGCATTATATCATGAAAGTCATTTAATCATTCTGACCACTTAATAATTCTGCATCAAATCATTCATCAATCACCAAATAACCTCTAAAATTAAATCCCAAAATCATGAAAACCCTAATCAAAATTACACATTTAATATGCTAAAGAACGACCATGATCCCCAAAAACCCTAAAATAATTAATTTATATTTACCTTTTATTATGGCAAGACCATTGACCCAAGGAGGCAAGGACCAACAGAACAGACTTCAAGATACAGAAATGCATTTATTTTGAAGGAGGTTTTACCAATCAATTGGAAACTGTGTTCTTTGACTTTTTATATTTAAGGGTTGTTTGAGATGATGTTTTTTTTATAAAAGTATTTATTAATTTATTATAAATAAAAAAATTAATTTTTTTAAAAACTTTTTATTATCGGTTTGTCACCGGTATAAGACTATAAGTTGTTTATTTAAATACTTAAAAATCCTTATTATTCGTATCATACCAAAATAAGTCAATAAGTTATTTTTATAAGCAATATTAAATACCCGCTTAGTTTCCTTCATTGATTTGTGGGACATGTGTGACTTCTCCTGAACCTCATCACACACTTTCCTCTCTTTGACCACACCCTCTCTCTCTCTCTCAAACTTGCTTCTTTCTCTCTCTAGAATTCTGCATGGTTGGTGACCTTTTCTTATCTTTGACAACAACATTACATATACACATACTGACATACATATGCATCCATCCACACACACACATATACATATATATATATATGTGTGTATATACACATATAGGGTCATTAAAGCAGACAGCTTTCTGCAATACATATAAACATATACATACATATATACGTATACATATATCTATATATACACATATAGGGGTCATTAAAGCAGGCAGCTTTCTGCGATACATATAAACATATACATACATATATACGTATACATATATATATATATATATATATATATATATATCTATATATACACATATGGGGGTCATTAAAGCAGGCAGCTTTCTGCAATATATATGAACTCTAAAAGTGAATTCTACATTTTCAGGCTTTGAAACATCAAAAACGTGTTATTGGGTTTCAATATTTGTTCACACGATAACTCTTTAAGCCTTTGAAAAACGACTATTTTTTTTTCTTGTGTTCCCAGTCAAGCATTTACGCATATCAAATTCTTTTCCGTAGACCTGCACCGTGTTTAAAGGCCATCGTTTAGACTTGAAATCGATCTCAAATCATCCCTTTTTTCACGGGGGTTCTTTTTATAAATAGGTGAAGAACAGAAAGTTGGTCACAATCATCATCGTTTTCAACAAAAAAGAACCAATCCCAGAAATCAAGAAACTTGGAGGACGTCCGTGAAGAATTAAAGCTGCTGGTTTAGATCGAAGGTTAGCGACAGAAGCCCATTTCTTGATCTGTTTTCAAAGATTTCGTGATGCATGTTAACTTTTCTTACTGGGTTTGGTTTAAATGATCGAAGCCTTCATTGGGTCTCTTCGAAATTAGGGTTTATACAAGGTTAAAACTGCTGTTTTAGATCGAAGGTTAGCGACAGAAGCCCATTTCTTGATCTGAGTTCCAAGATTTCATGATGCATGTTTACTTTTCTTTCTGGGTTTGGTTTAAATGATCGAATCCTTCATTGGGTCTCTTTGAAATTAGGGTTTATACAAGATTTTGGTCAATTTTAAGCATATTTACCTGTTAGAGAATAGTAGAACACTGTGTGTTTTATGTGTTTTTCTTTAATAGGGTTTGAACTCACTACAACAAAATCGGGTTTATAGGACACTCTCAAATTCTAAGTGTCCTAATAGACTTCTTTATAGAACTTAGTTTATAAGACCAAAAAAATAAAATGTCATATCTAAAGGTGGTGTAATAAGTTTATATGACGTTTTTTGACGTTGTAATAAGTTTTTTAGGACACTTTTAATATAAAGTGTCCCATTATCAACTTTATAAGACACTATTTGAAAAATTGTCCTATAAAAACAAGTGTCCTATAAAAAATTGAGTTTATAGAAAGTGTCCTATAAAGTTGTTAATACGACACTTTGTATTAAGAATGTTCTAGAAATTTGTTAAGACGTCCAAAAGCGTCATATAAACTTATTACAACATCTTTAACTATGACACTTTATATTTTGGTCCTATAAATTAAGTCTTATAAAGAGGTCTATTGGGACACTTAGAGATTGGGGGTGTCCTGTAAACTCAATTTTGTTATTGTTGTGACTTGATTATTATTCATTCATTATGAATAATAATGGTTTTTAATGGGTTTCTGTGTGTTTTTCAATTGTGCAGAAAATTTGGATTCTGTAATGGGTTTGTCTTTATCACTGTTATCATCAGCATGGGAAGAAATCTTGAACCATAGCTTTCTAATCTTGCCTTACGAACTCAATCTGGGTTTAAAAGTTGATGACACCTTCGACAACATATCGAAATCGGAAACGATATCGAAAGAACCTGATCGAGATTCATGTGATGATGATCAAAGTAGAAGGAATTCGATCAGTTCTAAGAGATCTCATGAACCCTTAAAGATAATGCTAGAAACCACCCTTTCATTCAAGAATCTAGTTCAGGATTTCAAGAAACCCGAACCCGACCACTTGAATCTTAGAACGGATCGTTTGCCGGCTTCTCCCGGACCCACGATCTTCTTTTCCCCTCGACCTGTCAGCGAACTCAATGCGGCTGCTACTACCGTTCAGAAGATATATAAAAGTTATCGAACACGAAGAAATCTAGCAGATTGCGCCATTGTCGTTGAGGAGCTCTGGTGAGTTTATTTTCATCTTATATAAGATAAACGGTTTCGGGTATAGGGGCATGTTCATACGAGAAAAGTAAATATTTTAGAACCCCGATAATTAACTATTCATGATGAATATCATGATAAATATCCACGAATAACGATATGCATGATATTTTGAGGGTTATTCGTCATGAATAATTCATCAAAATAGTTAGTTCTAGGGTCTTGAGATATTTACGGTTCTCATTTAAGATACGGGTTGCAATTTGACTATTCGATATCATAATTCCAAAAGTCAAAAGTCAAACTGTAACTCGTTTTCTTGAAAGGTTTGAGTTTATTCTGAATCGGGTGATCGTGTTGCAGGTGGAAGGCTTTAGATTTTGCAGCTTTGGATCGGAGTTCAGTTTCGTTTTTCAATCTTGAGAAGCCCGAAACCGCGGTTTCACGGTGGGCCAGGGCTCGGACTAGAGCCGCTAAGGTCGGAAAGGGTCTATGCAAGAATGAAAAAGCTCAAAAGTTAGCCTTGCAACATTGGCTTGAAGCTGTGAGTGCTTTTTCAAGATTTCTTGAATTGTTCCTATGGTGAACTGGTGTTTTAGAAACATAATTTCTGATGCGATTCAAAATTTTCTTAACGGTTTTTACTATCGCGAAACTGGTTTTTCTTCGGTTTTCTGAAAGACATTCATCTCTAACTCGTAATTTCTTTGTCGGGCGTTTGCAGATCGATCCACGCCATCGGTATGGCCATAATTTGCACATTTACTACGATATCTGGTTCAAAAGTGAAAGCAGTCAACCTTTCTTCTACTGGTAAGGTTTAAGACATGTTTATGAATTATTCATAATGAATATGGTGATAGATATTCATCATGAATATATAGTGAACAATGAAAATACATCATATATTCATAATGAATAAGATCCTTATGATGTTCTATTTTTGGAAATGTGAAGGTTGGACGTTGGAGATGGCAAAGAAATAAACCTCGAAAAATGCCCGAGGATCCGTTTACAACGACAATGCATCAAATATTTAGGACCCGTAAGTTTCTTTTTCGCTTCTCTCATAAACGTATATATATTTTCTCGTTTCTAAACAAGATTTGATTAAACAGAACGAACGGGAATCATACGAAGTGATAGTTGAAAACGGGAAGCTCGTTTATAGACAAAGCGGATTGCTTTTGGAAACGATCGAGGGTTCTAAATGGATCTTTGTTCTTAGCACAACGAAGAACTTGTATGTTGGACAAAAGAAGAAAGGCTTGTTTCAACATTCGAGTTTTCTATCCGGCGGTGCCACCACTGCCGCCGGAAGATTGGTCGCCCATGGCGGCATTCTTGAGGTACAAGTCTACAGTGGTCATCTAACTTATCAGCTAGTTTTTACTAAATATGATTAGTTTGTCAGCTAACAGCTAGTTAGCTATCTGGCTAATTATAGCTGACCTATCAACCAACAACTAAGCTATCTGGCTAATTATAGCTGACCTATCAACCAACAACTAATTTATCAGCTAATTCCTAAACATAACCTTAATATTTATCATTTGTTTTCAGGCTATTTGGCCTTACAGTGGTCACTACCTTCCAACAGAAGAAAACTTCAGGGACTTCATTAGCTTCTTGGAGGAGAACCATGTCGATCTCACCGATGTCAAGGTACGTTCTACGCTCCGTGAGTTGTACACCGGTGCATTGTCGGGTTGTACGTATATTACCCATGGCATGCTCGGTTTTTTTGGGTAATCATGGGTATCTGGCCACGTTGCATACACTTCGACTAATCCCATGATATCCTGAACATAATTACCAGGAAAATCCTCAGTGTCTCTAAAGAGATTTAGACTGAACAAAACCTAATATTTATTTGTCAGTTGAGAGGACCCTTAATATCTGATATATTCGGTTTTCTGATCACTAGAAATTGTCTAAATGCAGAGATGTTCGGTTGACGACGACGATGTGGGCTTCTCATTTAAGGTTACCCAAACCGAAACAAAGCCTAAACCGCTAGTAATTCCGCGTCCGAGACCACAAGACATTCTACGTGCACCTACTCATGCTGAACGTACAATCACATTAACCGATGCTCCAATTTCACCTAGTCTTCAAGAAGCCGATCGCATGTCGTGCAAGTGGACTTCAGGAACCGGGCCACGTATCGGCTGCGTGCGGGATTACCCATCCGAGCTTCAATTCATGGCCCTCGAAAAAGTTCATTTATCTCCACGTATCATTCCTGGGAATTTCGGGCCGATCCCATCGCCCAGGCCGAGCCCGAAGGTCAGGCTCTCGCCTAGGATTTCGTACATGGGAATCCCGAGTCCGCGGACCCCGATCGCTACTAATTGAGCTAACAAGTTCGTTTAACTCACTTTTCGTTTTTAACAAAAAGAATAAAAACGCTAAAATGGCGTAAACGAATAGAATCTCGAATTCGGATTCTATTTATTTTTTCATTTTTTTTCTTGTCGACATGTACCGGATTCCTTTATGCATAGTGTTGTTGTACCCTACTTTTGATGGCTGCTCCTTTTATGCAGTTACATTTGTACCTCTTCATTGATTATTTCATTTTTTTGTAAAGAAAGTAGACATAATTTTTAGGGGTCGTTTATCAAATGCTTACTGAGTTTCTTATCTTACCGGATAACATGACAAAAGCCGAGAATTTTACCCGGTAAGAGTGATGGTAAAGATCGAGAGTCTTACTGGTTAAGTGAGAGTGGCGATGCTTACCTGGTTAATGTTTACCGAGTAAATTGTTGCATCTTACCTGGTAAGGGATGTAAAAGCGTTGACTCTTATCGGTTAACGCTTACCGGGCAATGTTTTTTATTAATGTAATGTAAAAACTAGATGAGACATGATTCGACAAAATAAGTATATGTCTGGTGTTTGGTACGACTAGGACCTGACATGACAAAACTAGACAAGTTGTCCTCAAAAGTTATTTGATGATTTTACACAAACTATGTTTTTTATTCGGTTTGAAAGGGAAGATTGTTGCAACAACGATGGGTTGTGGTGGTAGAGGCATTGGTGATTGGTGGACAATAGTGTTGTGGTGGTTATGGTGGAGTTGTGGACAGTGGCGGACGCAGAAAAATATATTGTAGGGGGCACAAAATCAATGGTTTAGTAACATTTTTATTTGCCTACAAAATTAACCTAAAATTTGACATTTCCGTTTGATTTGCCTAATTGCCTACAAAATTACCTACAAAATTAACCAACAAAATTAACCTAAAGCATTTACCAATTACCACAAAATTAACCTAAAAAACCTAACCTAAAGCATTTACCAATTACCA